TGTCCCGCCCCCCTCCTCGCCCCCACTCCGCAGCCCCCCACCCCGACCTCACACGTGCCTTCTCTCCGGCGCCAGCCACCGCTCCCCCTCATCTCCAGCCCCGACCCCAGCCCCCATCCCGACCTGCACCCTCCGCAGCCCCAGCGCCCCACCTCTGCGCCCTCCCCGGCCCCCGCGCCCTTCCAGCCCCGGTGCCCCCAGCCGTCCCCCAGCGCCCGCAGCCTCTGCGTTCTCTTTTGTGCCGTCGCCCTCCCGTCCTCATCCGCTCGATGCTCCTGCGGCGCGAGCCGCGACTCCCCGCGGACGCTGGGGTCCCCGGAGGCGTCTTCCTTTGTCTCAGCTCCCCGCCCTCCCTCCACGGCGCCCCTCGCCCCTCACTCACCGCCTCGGCCCGGCCTGGGCGCGGGGAGCGGGCGCGGCCCTCCGCGGCCGGCTCTTTCTTCTCTCCCTCCGGAGGCGCGCTCGCCCCTCCCGTTCGCAGCCGTCGCCGCTCCCGCCTCTACCGGGGACCGAGCAGCCGGGACCCGCCGAGTCCCGGGCGAGGGGCCGCTCGCCGCCCTTCCCACTCGGACCGGCTCCTCCTGGGCGGCCGCGCAGGCTGGCTCCGGGAAGCCCGAGCCCCGCGGAGAGCTGCTGGCGCCTCCGGCCCAGGCCCTGGCCGGTGTGGACGGCAGGGGTGGTGCTGACCCTCGGTTCCTCGTCCACCTCCCTCCGAGCCCAAACCTGGGATTTCTACTCCGGGAGAATTCTGCACACCTTCCTTTATGAGCCTCAAGGGCTGTGGAGGGGGCCTGGCACCCCCCCACTCCCCAGCTGTGACTGGAGCTGAACTTTGAGAATATAGCTGCTGTCAACTGGCCCAGGGGTCCAAGAATGGGGCGAGTGGCACCGAAGAGGCCCAAGGGCACCCCGTGAGGACCCCCACGCCTCAAGAGTGGGGGCTGAGGATCCCGGGCCATGCCTCCACTGCCGCTGGAGCGGGACCCCCGGCAGCGGCGCGGGCTCTCCCTGCTGGTGCGATATTTCATGATCCCCTGTAACGTCTGCCTGATCCTCCTGGCCACCGCCACGCTCGGCTTCGCGGTGCTACTCTTCCTGAACAACTGTACGTCTGTGGGTGTGGCAGCCTCCTGGGCCCAGGTGACCCTGCCTCTCTGCTCGCTGAGGTCCCCTGCCTCAGCCACCAAAGATTAGGGGACAGGCAGGGTCACAGAGAGGCCACCAGCTGTGACGTGGCTCAGATGGGCCACTGCATCTTCTGGGAACGCCATGGGTCGTTCTCTGGATGCCTGGGCCCCCCGAAGGCTGTCTGTGGGCTGCGGGGGGCAGGGGCCGGCCCACATCCTGAGCTGCAGAGACAACTTTCGTTGGCGGGGGGGGATTGGGGAATGGGAATGGGGGCTTTGGCAGGGCCTGGGGCTCATCTCGGGAATAGGTGGCTGCCCACACCCCTGCCACTGGGCCTCCCTGACAGGTGTCAGACCATGATGGTACAGCCGGAGGGGCAGAGGAAAGCCAGGGAAGGGATGTGTGCAGGCAGGGGTGACCCCTCCAGGCTGGACAATGGGACAGGCTATGGAAGGACTGGCTTGGGCTGGGGAGCGGGGGCGGGGGGTGCCTGACTTGGAGATTTGTTTTTTTTCCAGACAAACCTGGGACCCACTTCACGCCAGTGCCCCCAACGCCTCCGGATGGTGAGTGAGGGCTCAATTGGTGACAGGTTGAGCTTGGCAATCTGTGCCTGGAGGGGCGGTGGCACTCTCGGTGGTCAGGGGGTCATTCTTAGGGCGTGTACATCAGACGTGTTAGCTGTGTCTGGAGCAGCAGGAGGCTGGATGAGGGAACCTGGGTCCTTCCTGGGGAGTCCACAGTGGTGGACAGCAAAGGGAACGTGGGGTCCGCAGTCACTGGGCCTGGCCCCACCTTGGCCTCAAAGTTGGGACTGACAGTGCTGGAGCCCACGGGTTGAGAGATGGGTCAGAACATGTGTACAGAGGGCGTGGGGGGCCAGGGGCTCAGGGAGAGGGCCTCAGCAGGACCAGCAGCAGCTGTCTGAGGAGGGATGGGCGGGTCTGTTTCTGGACTGAGCAGGCTGGGCCTGGCCTTCTTGACCTGCTCTGTGGGCTGGGGCCCGGCCTCCCTGGGGGGCTGCTGTAATTAAGCTAATGTGAGCGGGGAAGAGAGGAAGCTGTCAGTGCCTCCGGAGGGCAGGGGAAAGGGGTGGCCTGGGGTCCTCTTGGGAGAGGGGGCTGCTCCCAGGTCTGCTTTCAGTGCCTGGGCCCCCTGCTGGGCAGGCACGGCCCAGGTCCCTGGAAGTACACAGAGGGCCGTCCGTACATGGGATGGGCCATGGGAGGGGGCAGGTCCGCACTGGGCTGGGGGTTTGGGCCCAGGACTGAGCCTCTCATAGGCTGTGGACAAGAGGCCCGGAGCTGGCTGGATTTAAACACTTTCCTCTCTCCCAGCGTCCTCAGCCTTCTCTCCTCAAGCCCCAAGCCCTGCTGTGTCTCTTTTCCTTCACACATGCATTGGCTCGCCCCACAGCCTTCCACACGGGCCCCACACCTGTCCTCGGATCCCATCACACATTTCTGGACAGCTACCCCACATGACCGTCGTCATCCCTCCCAGGCACACACACAGCACATTCTTGGTCACAGGCAGGGCTCAGGGCACGCGCTCCATCCTCCGACCTACCCAAGTCTGGGGAGAGAGTTAAATATACCCACTCCAACCGTCGGAGGCTATAAAAAGCCACCACCGCCTCCGGCATCGCACACTGTGAGGGAGCCTTGGGCAAGGAAGGAGAGGCTCCTTCAGGAGGGCAAGCATGGCAGAGCCCCAGAGGTGACACTCAAGGGCCGTGAAGCTTGCAGGTCTCTGGGCGCTCCACCTGCGCTAAGGAGGGGCAGCCTGCATGATCAGGGTGCAAGTCTTGGAGGACGAGGAACCTACTGGTCATACAGGAGTAGGTGTCCTTGGCCCAGGGGTCAGGACCTTGGGTGGTGTCCGGCTGGACCAGGGTGACCAGAGGGAGAGAGAGGCTTGAGCCCGAGGGGCAGTGCGGTGACCAGGTCCTCAGCCATGGATGGGGTCAGGACCCTGGAAGAGACCTTGATCAGCAGGTCCAACTGAAGCCAGATAGAGCAGCCAGCCAGACGGGGCAAGTGCCCCTGGGTTTGGCCTGGGGGTCCCCAGGGCCTTGGGCAAGTGAGGGCTATGAGTAGACAGAGCGTTGAGCCACACAGAGGGATGGCCCATATGCTTGGCAGCTCTTACTGCTCTAGTCGTCGCAGCGGCCGGCCCAGAGAGGAGTGCTGGGCCTCTCCAAGCCTTTGCAGGTATTGGCCCTTTTAGCCTCACAACAACCCTGGAGGGTGGGTTCTATTGTCCCCATTCACTGGAGGAGATGCTGAGGTAGGGCGAGGCGATAACTTGCCCACCGATAACTTGTCACTTGGCGGGTGAATGCAGGTGGGGCAGCCTGACTCCAGGATCTGATGACGCATCTGCGCAGGTGCCCAGATTAGGTGGGGGGAGGACGGGGGGGCGACGCAGAGAGTTCAGGCTGGGGTATCCATGCTGGCCCCGCCCTTGCCTCCAGCCCCAGTTCACTCAGCCCGTGGGGAGTGGGGGCAGGGATTCCCAGACAGGCTCGCGGGAGCCTGGGGTGGGCTGTTGCTATGGTGACAGCGCGAGCTCCCTGTGCTGCTCCACCCCGCCGGGACTTGAGGCTGCTTCCTTCTGCCCCCCTGCCTGAGCCTGCTGGGAGGTGATGGGGGGCACCCCCTCAGCCCCATAACTTATTAATGATAAGTGGACCCAATTAAACATTTATTGCATCCAGACAGCCGCAGCCCGTAATGGGCCTGCCCCGCCTATGGGGGTGTCACCCTGGGTGGGAGTCCTGAGGAGTCAGCCTGCCCGCTGCCCCGACACTGTGCCCAGGAGGGCCCGTCCTGACGGCTCTGCAACTCAGTGAGCGGGTGTGCGCTGGCGACACTGCAAAGTTGAGAACTAAAACGTTTAAAGAAGAAAACAGTCGGGTCCGCAGGGCCCGGTGTGCTAGGGTCCCTGAGGAGGTCATGCTGAGTGTGAGGGCCTGGGGAGGGGGTGGGGGCCCAGGAGGACAGATGAGGAAGGTTGAGGTGTGTGGGTACCCGCGGGGCCCTAGCGAGAGATTGCAGCTGGGAGGCCACGAGCCACAGCAGAGCACGGACCTGGGGGAGGCTGGCTGTGGGGACGCGGAAGGTGGGGGAGTGGGCAGACAAGAGCCCAAGTGCGGACAGGCCTGGGGAGCGGGGAGGCCTGCGGAGAAGCAGGAGGGGAAGAGGAGAGGGGTGGGGCCGGCAGGGCGCTGGGTTCTGGGCCGAGGGTGGAGCATGTGACCTGAGCTCAGGGAACCCCACCCCCTGTCCTGCAGCTCTATGACCTCAGGCCTGTCCATGAAAGGCGGAGGAGCTGGTCCCTGGGGAGGTGGCAGGGGCCAGGTGTGGGCGGGGACACTGGAGCAGCTCCCAGGGAGGGGGCGGGGCGGGCCGGGGTTCTGAGGAGTAGGTCACGGTCGGAAGAGGGCCTTTGATTCTGAGGTGGGGATGCTGATTCCCTGTGATAGAGTCGGCCTGGGGGCTGTCTGTCTGTCCTCTGTGTGGGGAGTGGGTCAGGAGCAGATGCGATGCCCCTTCCGCAGTTGCGGGGCTGAGGGGGGCGGGGGCAGAGAAGGCTCTGCGGGGGGAGGGGGGTTGTCGAGAGGGGGAGGGCATAAGGCCCTGGCTGTGATGGGCGCACCCGGGGTTCCTGTGAGCGCCAGCACGAACATGGGTGGGCACGCATGTGCATGTGTGACCGTCCGTGCAAGATCCTGGCAGGTGTGCGGACGTTGGACTGTGTGCATGATGACCGTGGGCCTGGAGGCGGCAGGGGCCGGGCCCCTACCCACCCCGTCGCGTCTTCCGCCCCACCCACAGCGTGCCGAGGAATGCTGTGTGGCTTCGGCGCCGTCTGCGAGCCCAGCGCGGAGGAGCCGGGCCGAGCCTCCTGTGTGTGCAAGAAGAGCGCCTGCCCCAGCGTGGTGGCGCCCGTGTGCGGCTCGGATGCCTCCACCTACAGCAACGAGTGCGAGCTGCAGCGGGCGCAATGCAGCCAGCAGAGGCGCATCCGCCTGCTGCGCCGGGGGCCCTGCGGTGAGTGCGGAGCGGGGGCCTTGGTGAGGGGGATGCGGGGGAGCCGGGGCTGTGGTGAGGGGGATGCGGGGGGGGGGGCCTGCGGTGAGGGGGTGCGCGGAGGGCCGGCCACTGGCCAGTGTGATCCCACCCTGCTGCGCCCACAGGGACCAGGGACCCCTGCTCCAATGTAACCTGCAGCTTTGGCAGCACCTGTGCCCGCTCCGCAGATGGACTGACAGCCATGTGCCTGTGCCCTGCCACGTGCCTGGGGGCCCCCGAGGGCCCCGTGTGTGGCAGCGACGGCACTGACTACCCCAGCGAGTGCCAGCTCTTGCGCCAAGCCTGCGCCCACCAGGAAAACGTGTTCAGGAAGTTCGACGGCCCCTGCGGTGAGCGCGACCCCTGCGCGTGTAGCATGGCCTCAGTCGGTGTGTGTACACAGCGGCAGTGCCCTGACCTCCGCCTTCCCGCCCCCAGACCCCTGCCAGGGCGCCCTCAACAACCTGAGCCTCATCTGCCGTGTGGACCCACGCACGCGGCGCCCTGAGATGCTCCTGCGGCCAGAGAGCTGCTCTCCGAGGCAGGCGCCCGTGTGTGGGGATGATGGGGTTACCTACAGTAACGACTGCGTCATGGGCCGAACCGGGGCCACCCGAGGCCTCCTCCTCCAGAAAGTGCGCTCTGGCCAGTGCCAGCCTCGAGGTGGGCGGCTCCTGGGGGAGGGCCCCGTCCTGGCACTCTGCATGACCCAGGGCCCTGCCTATCCCCACCCTCCCCTGCATGCCTCATGGGTCCCCACTCATCACCTCGTGTGCCCGTGGATCCCCTGCACATCCCAGCGTGGGGGCCGGCATGGTACTTTGGCTCTTCTGATCTCCTTGCCCCGCCGCAGACCAGTGCCCAGAGGCGTGCAAGTTCAGTGCCGTCTGTCTGTCCCGCCGAGGCCGCCCCCGCTGTTCCTGCGACCGTGTCATCTGTGATGGGGCCTACAAACCCGTGTGCGCCCACGACGGGCACACATATGACAATGACTGCTGGCGCCAGCAGGCCGAGTGTCAGCAGCAGCGCAGCATCCCCGCCAAACGCCAGGGCCCGTGTGGTGAGCACCGTGGGCGGGCTCTGTGCTGCGAGCAGGCTGGTCCGGCAGTCCCCGCTGCCTGTCATCACATGCCATCTCCATCCTGAGTCATGCTTCTCTTCCCTGGGCTTGTGGGCGACAGCTGGTCACTCTGGGGAGCCTTGGCAGGGCTGTTGCCCGTCAGCGGGCTCTGGGGAGGTGGCATCTGTCAGGGAGGTGCCTGCAGCACCTGTGGGGATGTGCGGCAGAGGCAGGGGTCCGTGGGCAGGCTCCCTGGGACCTGCCCGACAGCCCTCAAGTCCTCCGGGTGCCACACTCTTGGGACACACAGCCCCCTTAGAGGCAGCGTCTCAGTCGGGCTTCGAGGGACCAGGAATGGGCAGAGACAGCGCGTCCTGAGTGGACTGGGGCTCTGCCCAGCTCTACCTCCGCCCCCGTCGGCCGGTCTGCCCATCTTTCCGGTCTCTCTTTCTGCGTCTGTTTTCTCTCCTCTGCTCTCCCTTCCCTCTTGGGTCCACCTCTTGTGTCTTCCAGCCTGACCTGCTGGCAGGATGAGGTACCGCGCCTGCCGCCAGGAGCCCACAGCCCGAGGTCTGCCCCCCGCGCGGCAGGGGGGGGTGGCTCGCTGCTGCCTGGCCTTGCGGTCCTCAGAGCAAGTGGACAGACACCTCCTCCCCCGTGTGGCCCTGGGTGTGGCTCTGGGTTGCAGACTCCTCCCCCCACAGAGAGAGCACCCCCCCGGCCACGCATGGGTGTCCAGGGCTGCTGGTGCTCAAGGGTCAGTGGCCTGGGCGGGCTGGTAAAGCTGGCCCTCCCACCAGCCCCCGAGACCAGTCCAGAAGCTCCTGTGTCTAGAGGGCAGCCCCGCCCCACACTCACGCAGAGACCTGGGGCCATCTGAGTCTGCGTCCCTGCCCACGCGTGTCCGCGTCTGTCCCTTTCTCTGCTGTGTCCTGCGCATCCCGCCCTCCTCCTGGTCCACTCTTCCCACACCATCCCCACCCTGGGAAAGGGTCTGCTGCGTGGGGCTGGGGGCTTTGCGCGTCGCCTAGGAGAGCAGGTGGGGACCCTGCTGAGTGCCCACGTTCTCCCCAGACCAGCCCCCGTCCCCGTGCCGCGGGGTGCAGTGTCCGTTCGGGGCGATGTGTGCTGTGAAGGATGGGGAAGCGGAGTGTGCGTGTCAGCGAGCGTGTTCAGGCATCTACGATCCCGTGTGTGGCAGCGATGGCGTCACGTACAGCAGCACGTGCGAGCTGGAGGCTACGGCCTGCGCCCTTGGGCGGGAGATCCGGGTGGCTCGCCGAGGACCCTGTGGTCAGTGGTGGATGAGTGGGTCTAGCTGGGGGGTGGCCGTCCTCGTCACCGTGGTGATGGAGCCTCCTCCCCAGACCGCTGTGGGCAGTGCCGCTTTGGAGCCCTGTGCGAGGCTGAGACCGGGCGCTGCGTGTGCCCCTCCGAGTGCGTGGCCTCGGCCCAGCCCGTGTGCGGCTCTGACGGGCACACGTATGCCAGCGAGTGTGAGTTGCACGTGCACGCCTGCACACGCCAGATCAGCCTGCACGTGGCCTCGGCTGGACCCTGCCGTGAGTGGGGCTGGGGGCACCCGGCGGGCTGTGGTCCCGTGCCTCCTCCACCCAGTATCAGCTGACCGCCGCCCGGCCCCGCCTTCTGCAGAGACCTGCGGAGACACAGTGTGCGCCTTTGGGGCCGTGTGCTCGGCGGGGCAGTGTGTGTGTCCCCGGTGCGAGCGCCCTCCGCCCGGCCCCGTGTGTGGCAGCGACGGCGTGACCTACCGCAGTTCCTGCGAGCTCCGCGAGGCGGCCTGCCAGCAGCAGATGCAGATAGAGGAGGCCCGGGCGGGGCCGTGTGAGCAGGGTAGGCTCGGGGGCAGCTGGTGTGGGCTGCTGGGCACCAGCCTCGGCCGGGACCCCGAGATGACCTGGCCTCCTCCCCGCAGCCGAGTGCGGCTCGGGAGGCTCGGGCTCTGGAGAGCACGGTGAGTGTGGGCAGGAGCTGTGCCGGCAGCGAGGCGGCATCTGGGACGAGGACTCAGAGGACGGGCCGTGCGTCTGCGACTTCAGCTGCCAGAGCGTCCTGAGGAGCCCGGTGAGGCCCCCCCTCCCCTGACTCCCACTGGGCAGTGAGGCAGGGGCCGTGGCCGCCCACACCTGCCCTGACACCCTTCCTCCAGGTGTGCGGCTCGGACGGGGTCACCTACCGCGCCGAGTGCGAGCTGAGGAAGGCCAGGTGTGAATCGCGGCCAGAGCTGTACGTCGTGGCCCAGGGAGCCTGCAGCGGTGAGTGGGCGTGCGGGCGTGTCCGGCTGTGCGTGGGCACACGTGTGCCTGTCCAGAGGTATGTGTGCCCACGGGTGTGAGGCTTGTGGGGGTCCGTGTCTTGTTCGAAGTTGTTGCGTGTGTGCTGGGGTGGGCGTGTGTGAACACGTGTATCGTGTTTGCAGTGTGTGCTGTTAGTGTATATCCACATTTGTGCAGCTGTGGTGCATGGACGTGTGTGCCTGCCGGTCAGCAAGTGTGCACTGAGCACCTACTGTGTGCAGGGGGGCATCAGTGAACCAGCGAGGCCCACCCTCCGGGCACTTTTTCTTTTGGGAGGAGGTTAATGGTGACCGGCAATCGTTGTATCTTTGTACACGCACGAGTGCTCCCCTGTGTGTCTGTGCGCGGGGGAATGTGGTGTACATGTGTGCCTGCCACCTTGCAGAGGCCCACTAATCTGAGCGTGTGGCTCTGGTTGTATGTGTGTGCACGGGGCTTCACGTCCACGATCTGTGGGCGTTTCACATGTTGCTGGTACTTGGTGTGCAGACACGTTATCGTTCTCATGTGTGGTATGGGGTTCTCGCCTGTGACCCGAGCTGCAGACCCACAGGCCCTGGTGGGAGCCGGCATCTGGAGGGCTGAGTGGTGAGGGCGGGGGCGGTTGAGGCAGAGTGGCTGTGCCCAGGTTGAGCGTCTGGCCCCGCCTGGCATCTCAACCCCTGCCCCTCCCTGCAGCCCCCACCTCGGCCCCGCTGCTGCCTGCGGTTCCCCTGCACTGCGCTCAGAGCCCCTACGGCTGCTGCCTGGACAACATCACTGCTGCGCGGGGCGTGGGCCTGGCCGGCTGCCCCAGTGAGTACCCGAGCCCGGCCCTGACCCGCAGCCAGGCAGCCACGCAGCTGCAGTGACCCTGCCTTGCCCTGGCCTTGCAGGCTTGTGCCAGTGCAACCCCCACGGCTCCTACAGTGGCACCTGTGACCCGGCCACAGGCCAGTGCTCCTGCCGCCCGGGCGTGGGGGGCCTCAAGTGTGACCGCTGCGAGCCCGGCTTCTGGAACTTCCGTGGCATTGTCACCGATGGCCGGAGTGGCTGTACCCGTGAGTGACAGGGCCCATGATCGGTCCCCAGCTGAGCACTGCTGCCTGCCCACCCTGTCCCTGCATTCCTCACGCCCCCTGGCAGGGGCTGGGCCAGGCCCTGGAGCCCGCAGGGAAGCCAGGCACAGGTCTCAGCCTCCTCTCCCCTGCCTCCCAGCCTGCAGCTGTGACCCCAAGGGGGCCGTGCGGGACGACTGTGAACAGATGACCGGGCTGTGCTCCTGTAAGCCCGGGGTGGCCGGACCCCGGTGTGGGCAGTGTCCAGACGGCCGTGCCCTGGGCCCTGCTGGCTGTGAGACAGGTGAGGGCCAGACCTGGCACTGCCCCTGGCCCCCTGTGCTGGGGATGAGGCCATCACAGGGGCGGGGTTTCCTGAGCCAGTGGGCTCTCCCGTGTCTGTGCCCCAGACTCTCCGGCACCCAAGACCTGTGCTGAGATGCCTTGTGAGTTCGGGGCGTCCTGCGTGGAGGAGGCTGGCTCCGCCCACTGCGTGTGCCCAACACCCGCCTGTCCAGGGGCCAATGCTACCAAGGTGAGGGATGGGTAGTGTGGAGGGTGCCAGAGGTGCGGAGGGGCCTCCCCCCAGCATCCGTGTCCTGTGCCCCAGGTCTGTGGGTCAGATGGAGTCACCTATGGCAACGAGTGCCAGCTGAGGACCATTGCCTGCCGCCAGGGCTTGGACATCTCTATCCAGAGCCTCGGCCCTTGCCAGGGTAAGGCCTTACCCACTGCCCCAGACTGACCGGGAAGGCCTGACTCTGCTCTGACCACCAGCCCCGCCACCTGGAATCTCCTCTCCTTACAGAAGACGTCACTTCCGGCCCCCGTCCGACATCTGCCTCTGTGGCCCCCTCAGGGCTTGACCTGAGCAAGGCTCTGCTGCCTCCACCCAGCGTCCTCTCCCTGGCTCCCAGTAGTACCGCTCGACCCGCATCGCAACCTTGGACCACTGCCAGCATCCCCAGGACCGCTGCAAGGCCTGTGCTGACCATGCCTCCCACGGCCCCCTCCCCGGCAGCCAGCCTCGCCACATCTGCCTTTGGCGAATCTGGCAGCGCCGATGGGAGCGGTGACGAGGAGCTGAGTGGTGACTTGGAGGCCAGTGCGGCTGGCTCAGGAGGTGAGCACAGGCTCCGGGACGTGGGGGCAGGGCCCAGGAGGGCTGCACCTGGGGCTGGGCTCAGACGGCACCTCCCCAGGACTCGAGCCCCCTGAGAGAGACAGCGCTGGGACCCCCGGGCCACCCATGGAGAGGGCTTCCTGCTATAACTCGCCTATGGGCTGCTGCTCAGATGGCAAGACACCCTCACTTGACGCAGAGGGCTCCAACTGTCCTGGTGAGTGGGTGGCCGGGGGCCTGGGTGGAGCGTGTGGAATGGCCTGGACACATCCAGAGACGCTGTCTCTCCTCCCGGCCACAGGCCTGTCCGGCAGGTGGGCACCCAGGCTTTGTGATATTCTGATTTTAGCACATGTGCAAGCGGTCTTGGGGATTCAGTACATGCACACGTAACGTGTGTTCTCGGCCCCCGCACACGCGTGGGTGCCCAAGACCCCGTGGCTAACCTGTTTTTCCTGTTGCAAGCCGGCCTGGGGCACTGCTCCGAGGAGTCTGTCTGGTAACCGATGCCAGCCCTGCCCCGGGGTCCCCACTAACCTCATGACCATCTGACTAACCGCCACCTGCCCTGCACCCCGCGTGGCTTGCTGCTGGGGCCTGTGCCCATGGCTGGCCCGGAGGCCAGGCAGGTGCCGGGCAGGACCTCACTGCTCCCTCCCCCGCAGCCACCAAGGTGTTCCAGGGTGTGCTGGAGCTCGAGGGGGTCGAGGGGCAGGAGCTGTTCTACACGCCGGAGATGGCCGACCCCAAGTCCGAGCTGTTTGGGGAGACGGCCAGGAGCATCGAGAGCGCGGTGAGTGTGGGGCCGTGGCCAGGGTGGCAGCCCCTACCCAGCCACTGGCCTTTTTCCCAGGACAGACCCAGAGAAGCGCTGTGGGGGCGGGAGGAGGGCCCAACGGTCCAGCCTGGGCAGCTTCCCGGAGCCCTAACTCACTCTCCACCCGCAGCTGGATGACCTCTTCCGGAACTCGGACCTTAAGAAGGACTTTCGAAGTGTCCGCCTGCGGGACTTGGGGCCCGGCAACTCCGTCCGAGCCATCGTCGATGTGCACTTCGACCCCAGTGAGCCCCCACCCAGTCCCCCCGGGAAGTGGGGTGCCGCCCTGGCCTCCACCATGCTCAGGGTCCCTCCTCTCCAGCCACAGCCTTCAGGGCTCCCGATGTGTGCCAGGCCCTGGTCCGGCAGATCCAGGCATCCAGGCGCCGGTCCCTGGGCGTGAGGCGGCCTCTGCAGGAACACGTGCGGTTCATGGACTTCGGTGAGAGCCTGGTCCGGCCGCCAGCCACAGCTTGTCCCCACCCTCCGTCCCCCATGCCGCGCACTGTGCTTGGGATCCCTGCTCCTTGCGGATCCTGACAGCTTCCCCTACCCCCAGACTGGTTTCCTGCGTTCTTCACGGGAGCCACCCCTGCTGCAGCCACGGCCAGAGCCACCACTGTGGCCCGCCTGCCACCTTCAGCTGTGACCCCTCGGGCCCTCTATCCCAGTCACACAAGCCGGCCCGTCAGCAGGACCACAGTGCCTTTCACCGCGCGCCAGCCCCCCACCCCTGCCCCTAGCCGTATGCCTGCACACCGGCCCCCGCCCCCAGGCATCCAGCAGCCCCCAAGGCCCTGTGACTCCCAGCCCTGCCTCCACGGGGGGACCTGCCAGGACCAGGGCTCAGGTGGAGACTTCACCTGCCGTTGCACAGCGGGCAGGGGGGGCGCTGTCTGCGAGCAGGGTAAGGTCATCCACGCGGGGGAGGGGCAGGGAGGCAGAGGGGGCCAGGTTGGGGAGGGCCGGGCCGCCGGGAGTGGGGGGCCGGGCAGGGGGGCCAGGCTGGGGTGAGGGGTCGGTTGGACTCCCTGGCCCAGCGCTGGGGACAGGGCTGGGGGTTTCGGACCGGCAGTCAGAGCCCGGGCAGCCGGGTCCTCTGTGCCCTCCACTGCCCCTCCGTCTCCTGCAGCACCGCGCCCCTCCGTGCCGGCCTTCGGGGGCCACTCCTTCCTGGCCTTCCCCACCCTCCGTGCCTACCACACCCTGCGCCTGGCGCTTGAATTCCGGGCGCTGGAGCCCCAGGGTCTGCTGCTATACAACGGCAATGCCCGGGGCAAGGACTTCCTGGCACTGGCGCTGCTGGGGGGCCGCGTGCAGCTCAGGTGGGTGGCGGGCGGATGGGGGATCAGGGATGAGGGTGGGGGTTGGGGGGCAGGGCCAGCCGTGGTCCTGGCTCCGTTTGGCTGTCCCGAGCGCCTGTTCCCGCCCCCCAGGTTCGACACAGGTTCGGGGCCCGCGGTGCTGACCAGCTCAGTGCCCGTGCAGCCCGGCCGGTGGCATCACCTGGAGCTGTCTCGGCACTGGCGCCAGGGCACTCTCTCGGTGGACGGTGAGACCCCTGTCCTGGGCCAGAGCCCCAGTGGCACTGACGGCCTCAACCTGGACATGGACCTTTTTGTGGGTGGCGTCCCGGAGGACCAGGCTTCCGTGTGAGCATGGAGGAGGGTGGCGTGGCCCCGACCGCAGACCCCCGACCTTGGCCCTGATCCCTGACTCTTGGGGTGGCATCCAGGAGGTCCAAGCTCCCTGTGGATAACAAAGGGGTTGGAAGTGTGGGTGTGGACCACGGCTGTGACGCTGGCCTCAGCCCCAGCCCTTGACCGTGATCCTGATTCTGTCCTGATCCTGAGGACCAAGCTGCCGTGTAATCACCGAGGAGGGGCTGGGCTGGCCCTGACCTTCAGTCCTGACCCTTGACTCTCAGCCCAACCCACCTCCTGATTCTGTGGGTTGACTGTCCATCTTGTGAGGACCAAAAGAGGGGTTGGGGACGGGTAGCAGCCCTGACTCACAACCCCGGCTGACTGAGGGACGCCAGTGTCACAGCTGGTTGTGAGAGAGGACAGACAGCTCTGGTCTCTGGCCTCTGACCGCTGACCCTCTCATCTCCGTGGCAGGGTGCTCGAGCGGACCTCTGTTGGGGTCGGGCTTAGGGGCTGTATCCGCTTGCTGGACGTCAACAACCAGCAGCTGGAGCTGAGTGACTGGCAGGGGTCTGCGACCCGAAGCTCTGGAGTGGGCGAGTGCGGGGACCACCCCTGTGTGCCTAACCCCTGCCTCGGCGGGGCCCCGTGCCAGGCCCTGGAGGCTGGCATGTTCCACTGTCGGTGCCTACCCGGCCGCTTTGGTGAGGACGGGCCCTGGGCCGGGTGCTGGGGGGACTTGTGTGTCTGTGCTTGGGACTCAGGCCTCCCGGGACCCCAACCTGCCTCCCTCCAGGCCCGACCTGTGCTGATGAGAAGGACCCTTGTCAGCCGAACCCCTGCCATGGGGCAGCCCCCTGCCGCGTGCTGCCCCAGGGCGAGGCCAAGTGCGAGTGCCCTCGGGGCCGGGAGGGCAGCCTCTGCCAGACAGGTGGGGACAGCGGCGCTCAGGGCAGGGCGGGCCCTGGGGGCCCTGGGGCTCTGGGGTCAGGGCCCGGCACCCTGCGTGACCCTCTCCTGTCCTCTCAGTCTCAGGGCGGGAGGATAGCCAGCCTCTCCTGGCCGACTTCAGCAGCTTCTCCTTCCTGGAGCTGAGAGGCCTGCACACCTTTGAGCGGGACCTGGGGTCAGTTGGGCAGAGGGGTGGATGAGGGGAAGCAGCCCCCAGCCCCACCCAGCCATGGGGGGAGGGGGCATCGCGACACCCCCGCCTGCCCTCACGTGACCCCAGGGATAAGATGGCGCTGGAGGTGGTGTTCCTGGCCCGGGGCCCCGGCGGCCTGCTTCTCTACAACGGGCAGAAGGCGGACGGCAAGGGCGACTTCGTGTCGCTGGCACTGCACGACCGTGTCCTGGAGTTCCGCTACGACTTGGGCAAGGGGGCAGCGGTCATCAGGTGGGCCGCACAGGGTGCAGGGGGCCGGCCTGGGTGCATGCGCAGTGTCCCTCAGGCCCCTGCTGGGCAGGCCGGCAGAGCCCCAGTGCGCTCACGGCGCCCCCCCTCTTGCTCCAGGAGCAAGGAGCCAGTGGCCCTGGGTGCCTGGACCAGGGTCTCCCTGGAGCGAAACGGACGCAAAGGAGCCATGCGGGTCGACGATGGGCCCCGTGTGCTGGGGGAGTCCCCGGTGAGCTGAGCGAGTGTCTCCAGGGCTGCCCCCCTGCTCGCTGCCGCCCTCCCCCTCCTGGGAGGCGTGCGGCCCCGCCCCATAGCCCGAGCTCACTGGACTGTTTTCTCTCCTCTGCCCTGGGCCTCTGTCTGTGCCTCCTCTCTGCTCTCACTGCTCCCTGGCCCTCGCTCTGCAACCCCACCCCGCTCGCTCTCCGCTCTCCGCTCTCCGCTCTTCGGATGCCAGAAATCCCGCAAGGTACCAGTCTCCTCTCATCCTGCCTCCTGCCTCTCCTGCCGCCTCCGCCCCTAGCGTAGCTCCGCCCCCACTAAGCCCGGTGTGGCCGTGTCTGTGATGAACGCTGCTTCCAGCAGGCTGGAGGGCGCGGGGTGGGTCCTCACCGGCGGGCGGGCCCTGGTCTGGGGCTCGAGCTGTTCCTGCCCGGTGGGTGGACTCCACACCCCTCACCCCGCTGCACCTCCCCCCAGGTGCCGCACACCGTCCTCAACCTGAAGGAGCCGCTCTACGTGGGGGGGGCCCCTGACTTCAGCAAGCTGGCCCGGGCAGCCACCGTGTCCTCTGGCTTGGATGGTGCCATCCAGCTGGTACGTGGGGCCGGGGCGGTGCCCTGGTACAGTCTCGAGGAAGGGCCCATCCCAGAGGGGGCTTCTGTCCTCCTGGGATGGGGGCTGTCCGGGCAGGCTGGACAGAGGCTCATGCTCCCGTCCCCAGGTCTCCCTGAACGGCCGCCAGCTGCTGACCCGGGAGCACGTGGTGCGGGCGGTGGGTGTCTCGTCCTTTGCAGACCACCCTTGTACCCAGGCCGAGGGTCACCCTTGCCTCAACGGGGCCTCCTGTCTCCCTCGGGCGGCCTCCTACGAGTGCCTGTGTCCTGGGGGCTTCTCGGGGCTGCACTGCGAGAAGGGTGAGCGCTTCCGGCACAGGGCCAAGGCTGGACAGGGCGGGGGGAGCCCGCCCGAGGCCGCACTCACCCCGCTGTCTCTCAGGCCTGATTGAGAAGTCGGCCGGGGACCTGGACACACTGGCCTTCGACGGACGGACCTACATCGAGTACCTCAACGCCGTGGCGGAGAGGTAGTGAGCCCTCCGGAGCCAGGCGCCCCTCCGCCCTCCGCAGCCGCACAGGGCTAGACGCGGGACCCTCCACTCCTGCCCCCGGCTCTGTGCCCACCTCCGCCCCTCCTCCACCCTCCTTCCTTCTCACTGTCTGTGTCTCTTTGATTCCAAGCGAACTGACCAATGAGATCCCAGCGTAAGTAGCTCCGCCTCCACCCTCACTGTCACCATCCTCTGCTCCCCACCCACCGGGCAGCACGGGCGAGGGCAGAACTTTCCATCCCCAGTGGAGGAGGACGGGGCTTCAGGGGAGCTGTTGGTGCTGCCGGGGTTCCGTTTCCCGCTTGGAAGTGGGGAGCCGCCCCTTCCCAGATGCGTGGAATGCCAGTCCACCCTCCACCCCCTGCAGCTACTCCCCTTGCCGCGGGGCACTGGCACGGCGTGCGCGCGTGCGCACAGTTGCAAACGTGCACATTTGTGCCCACGTGTCTGTGCGCATACACGAGCACGTGTGTCTCAGTGTGCACACGAGTCCATGTGCTCCCGTGTGTGCGCACACCCACGTGTATGGGGGGCCACCCGGGGGTCTCTCCCGACCAGGGGCCCTCGGTCTTCGTTCCGTGTCGCCCGTGCCCCAGCTGTTCCCTCTGCACCTGGCCTGGGCCGTGCCCACCAGCTCTGTGTCTGCCCATGTGTGTTGCACGTGTGTCATGGCCAGGGCTCTGTGGTGGGTGGAGCCGACGCCCCAGGGTCCTGTGTGTCTTCCGTGGATGCTTGCTCCTTCCGCCTTCCACTGGTGGACACGGGGGTGTGGGGAGGGGCTGCTGCTGGGTCCCACCCCACCCCGCACTACAGCCTGTCTGTGCCCCTGCTCACCTGCCTCCCTCTCTTCCTGCATCTAAGCCCTGAAACTCCGGATTCCAGGGCCCTTCCCAGGTGAGCAGCGGCCCCTGGCCCCTGCCGTCTGCCTGTTGCCTTCCCTTCTCTCTGAGGATCTCTCTGCCGAGCTGTCCCTGTGTCTGTCCACCTCATTCCTCTGATTGCCCGTCTGGCCCCACCTCCCACCATCCATCCCTCGGCCCATCTGTCCCACTGATGGTGCCCACCACCTGCCCATCCAGCTGCCCCGGTGGCACCACTAGCCCTTATGGCCTCTGTAGTCATGCCCCTCACCTTCCTACCACCCTTACCCCGTCCCCACCACCCTCCCAAGAGGTCCTGACCAGCCCTCTGCCCACCAGTGAGAAGGCGCTACAGAGCAACCACTTTGAGCTGAGCCTGCGCACCGAGGCCACGCAGGGGCTGGTGCTGTGGAGTGGCAAAGCCACAGAGAGGGCCGACTACATCGCACTGGCTATCGTGGACGGGCGCCTGCAACTGGCTTACGACCTGGGCTCCCAGCCCATGGTGCTGCGCTCCACCGTACCAGTCAGCACCAACCGCTGGTTGCGGGTCAGGGCACACAGGTTAGCAGGGAGCCTGGGGCCACCGAGAATAGCAGAGGGCGCTGCCTGGACTTGCCCGGCCAGGGCATGCCTGGCCACTCATGGCTAGGGTAGGAGTTTGGTAGGGGGAGGAGGGTGAGGAGGGCTGGTGGCCTGACCTGAGGTCACTGCCAGCACAGGAGGAGGGATGAGAGGGTACAGGAGAGGCAATGATGGCCAGGGAACCCCTGATCTGAAAGGGGTTTCCCCGCTCTACCCAGACGCCGGCTGGGGACATGTCCCTCTGGTCTGAGCCTTGGCCGTCCCCTCCAGCAAAGCTGGAGGTCCCCCTGCCTTTGGCCATCTGGTGCTCTCCTGGGGTCAGTGCCACTCCATCCTGGCCCCCAGGGGTGACACTTGGTGACGGTCCCCAGGGTGTGGTGTTGGGGCGAAAGGGATGGAGGGACCAGGACCTGGAACCACCTGATGGCCTCACCCCGCCCACCACGCCCCCAGGGAACAGAGGGAAGGCTCCCTTCAGGTGGGCAACGAGGCCCCTGTGACTGGTTCCTCCCCACTGGGTGCCACGCAGCTGGACACAGATGGAGCCCTGTGGCTGGGTGAGTGATTGGTCGGGGGGAAGCCAGGGGAGGGACAGGTCTCATCCCCTGGAGCTGGCAACGAAGAGTGGCACCCGTGTCAGTGCTGTCCAGGACAGCAGATGGGCTGGCTGGGGTGGGGCCCTCTCCCCTCCTGTCTTAGCCCCTGCCGTGCCCTGGGTGGTGTGAGGCCAGGAGGCTGGAGCTCGTCTGCTGGTCCCCTGGTCACCCCCCGGGCACTGGCGGGCTGCAGGTGACTCACCTGGTCATTCAGGTGCGGCGGGCTCCTCTGCCTGCCAGTGTCTGGCCTGCCTGTCACTGAGCCCAGTGACCTTTCCTCTGTCTTCCTGCAGGTGGCCTAGAGAAGCTGCCTGTGGGCCAGGCCCTGCCCAAGGCCTACGGCACGGGCTTCGTGGGCTGCCTGCGGGACGTGGTGGTGGGTCGGCGCCCGCTGAACCTGCTTGAGGATGCTGTCACCAAGCCGGACCTTCGGCCCTGTCCTGCCCCGTGAGCCACAATGCAGCCACGACCCACCCTGCTGTAATTATTTTCTATTTTTGTAAACTTGTTGCTTTTTTGATATGATTTTCTTGCCTATGTGTCAGCTGGAGGGACTGCTGGCCCGGCCTCCCTCCTGTCCAGGCAGGTGCGCTGCAGAGACAGACTTGGTGCCAAGGGACTCCAAGGGGTTGGTGGAGGAATGCTGCACATGGAGGGCCTGGCTCACTCAGCAGCCTTGGGACGTGCCCCTCTGCCTTGGGACACCGTGTCCTGGCCTCTCAGGCTGTGCCTCCCCCGAGTATCCACTTGTGCTGGCCCCTGTGTTCTCCAGCCTGTCGGCAGGCCCCGCATACACACATTGCCTGTGTTCCATCTGGCGAGGCCTGTGTCCCCAGAGCAGGTAGGCACTGTACGGCTTAGGGGGCCCTTCCTCTGTGCAAGCCCCACAGGGCCTCTCTGGGTTCCCATCTGAGCCGCCCCTCCTCCCTGCCTGTGCTGGGCGGGACCAGCCTCACCAGGGCCCACCGAGCCCAGGCCTCCTGTGCCAGTCCTGTGAAACAATGTCACTGTTGAGGCCATGCTGCGCCCCTCCCTCCAGCTGAGTCCACCTGTCCCAGGGCACTGGAGAGCAGAGGCCGGGCACAGGCCTGTTCAGGGCACCCTGGCCCGCAGCTGGCCCTGCCCATCCACCCAGCCACCCTGGGCATGGCTGTGTCCCCCCTCCTCCCCCCAAGGCCCCACAAGGAGCCCTGAGAGGGCGTGGGGCCACTTGTGACGTGGTGGACGTCACTGCCTGCCTGCCTTGGGGGGGCAGCATCCCCTCCTGAGGATGCACGTCCAGGCCTGGCCACCAACCGCAGAGTCTTTATGTACTGATTTTATTTGACAGCTGGGGTGGCGGGGCTGTTGTCTTTCCTGTCCTGGCCCGAGGGCAGCTGAGGACGCCGCACAGCAAAGCTGTCCAGTTGTGGTGTGAGGAGAGGTTGTCCTTATCCAGGAGTGACCGGGGGCAGGCTGGGCGATTAGGCAACACCGAGGGGCAGGTGCGCGGAAGCCAGAGACGCCTTAAACTGCAGTGTTAGGTCTCATCTGGTCCCGTCCCCCCAGCCGCCCTCACCTGTCCTGGCGGGGGTGGCAGCCCCTCCCCCAGCCCGGCTGGGCTGTCAGGCTCAGAGGCTGCAGGAGCCTCAGAAGTCCTGTTACTAACTCCAATCTGTGTTTGTGTCAATCACCATGAAATAAAGTCTGAACACTTGCAAGAGGCGCTTGCGTCTGTCCACACAAACACCACAGCTCTCAACCCCGCCTGGCCCTGCGCTCGCCCACCCGGCCAGTTCCTGTCCCGGGAGCTCCTCGCTGAGCTTCATGGTGGCATGCAGGCTTCAAGCTCCCTTAGGTGGCTCTGGATGGAGGAGGGGGTCCTGTGCTGGGGTGGGGGCTGCTTTTGGAGAGGAGACCCTGAGCGGCGAGTGCGCACACTGTTGTGCAAGGGGCTGGCCAGGTGGGCCCGTGAGGCCTGCACCCCAGGTCGCCTCCTTAAGGATGGCAGGCCTTGCGGGCAGGCTGCAGCCCCTGCCACGTGTGCATGCATGTATGCGTCTGCACAGGTATCAGCCTACGTCCAGGTGTCTGTGAGCACAGGATGGGAAGAGGGGCTGCGAGGAGAGCGGGCTGGCGGTACTAAGGGCAAGGAGGGCCTCTGGGGGAGCCAGGATGGGGTGGAGATGAGGCCTGTGGGAAGGGGACCCTGGTGGGCCGGTGTGGGCTGGACACAGGGAGGGGGAGGCACTGACTGAGGCGCAGGGGCACCTGGGCAGGCCCCCTGCTGCGTCTGGAGTGGCTGGGGTGAGGGGCTGAGGCCGCCTGAGTGGAGTCCAGGAGGCCGTGGGCTACCAAGCAGAGGGGAAGCTGGGCTGAGGCCGGGCACATGAGGGAGTAGGTGGGCTCGGCTGAGTGAAGGGAGAAGAGACCCCCATGGTGGGAGGACCAGGAGAGGGCGCTCTGGGAGCTGATGCTTCCAGAAGGAGGGGCTCTCGGCGCAACCAGTGCTGAGGGTGCAGGACCCTCCAGGTTGTCAGGACGGTGAGGAAGAGGAAAAGCCAAGGAGGGCGAGGGGCACCCCAACCTGCTCTCGGCACTGGCGGTGGTGATTTGGGATCGGGGCTTGCAAGCAGCAGAAGGTTCCAAGCTGGTGGTGTACCACTCCTGAAAAGGTGGGCGGGG